GAATCGTGCGGCTCGCTTAGACCAGTGGGATTGAGAAAAATGTTGACGTTGAGAGATGTTCCTCCTCCTTTTTTTCTTTTGTGGCTATGTACCTAGTGTTCACAGGTAAGCATTCATGTCAGTCCTCGCAGCTGTCAGTGTCCAAGTTCGTGGTGTGGAATGAATCAGATGAACGTGCCGTTTCTGAAGCGAAAACCAGAGACTCTTTGTCTTTGCAGTTATGAATGACATCATCACAACCATGTTCAATAAAAAATTTATGGAAGAGCTGTTTAAACCACAGGAACTCTATTCCAAGAAAGCTCTGCGAACAGTGTACGACCGGCTAGCTCATGCTTCAATCATGAGACTGAACCAGGCAAGCATGGACAAGGTAAAAAAGACCACCTGCCCAGTCCTGACTATGCCGTACTTCCATGCTACTGTTCACAAGTTTCTGATTGCAATAATTAGCACATGGCTTTACGTCACTGTAATTTTGAAGCATTTTGTAACAGCCGTCTTTGTAAAAATGGTTCTCAGCCAAGGAAGCTTTGGGGAAATCCATGGTAGTATCAGATACTTCAGAACTAAGTATTTCTGCTTTAATATGTAAATGTTTGATTTTTAAGAGGTTCAGTAAGCATTCTTTATCGGATTTGTTTATATATATTAAAAATATACAAACATATGTGGGTGTGTATAAATACATATGTTTCTATATTGACGCTCACTGTTTTGCAGTTGCAGGTGTCAGAATTTTTACCTGCAAACAGGATATCCAGCAGACGATTTTGAAAGAAATCGTAGGAACTGGATTACCTGTGAGGCCTCTACCTGGGTGTCAGTGTTGTTGAAATTGGCAGTAGTTTTAAAGGCAGTTGGAGATACCAGCAAGAGGGCTGACAATGTGATTGCAGAGGTCTTATTTTCTTAGGAAACAAAGCTAAAACGGTTTTTCTTACCATAGGCAGGTGCTAGCTTAAGTGTCTAAAACCCTTTCTACATCCGCGTGGAGTTACTGAAGCGGTGTCACTCTCTCTGTTGTGACGGAACCGAATTTTCCCCGTGTTACTTTGCAGCTGTACGATCTTATGACCATGGCTTTCAAATACCAAGTGCTGCTGTGCCCTCGGCCCAAAGACATTCTGCTGGTCACATTCAATCACCTGGACGCGATCAAGGATTTCATACATGATTCTCCTGGCATTCTGAACCAGGTGGACGAAACTTTCCGACAGCTGATTGAAGTAAGAATCCTTAGAAAAATGGTGGGACATACTGTTGTTTGAGATTATTTTTTCTCTCTCTCTCTTTCAAGCTAGTCTTGGAGCCTAAATACTACATCAGTAAGTGCCATATCAAGTGTGGAGGTTGATGTGTTCTCAACCTCAGAGAACCATCCAAATAACCTTCCCCTCTTTTTACCCCGAGGGAAACAAATTGGCCTCCCGGTTAGCAACTTCTGCTCATGTAGCTGCTGTAGATCTTTGGACAAAGGATATGAGTGTCCCAGTGAAAGGGAACTTGTTTCATAAAATGTTAAAAGTTCTGGGAAGTCCTGAAATGTTTCCAAAGGGCTTCTGGAGAGGGAGATGTCTACGAGTCAAGTGTTATTTTTCTGCTAGACCAGTTTAAATCAATACATTGCTTATTCAGCCTCATCAAAGTCTCTGCTGACTTCAGCAGAAATTAAATCAGACTCTCAGTCACGGATAATAATTACTGATAATGACCAGCAGCCCGCCTTGTATCATTTCTGCTTCTCCTGCCACACACGTACCATTTTTGGCTAGCAGTATTCTCATATGCTTGTTTCCACCTTTAGCCGCGTTGGACAGAGTACACTTGCAAAGCCTTACGTGATGGTTTTTCTTTTCCAGACGTACAGCTGTCTCTCTGCTGGTGAATTTCAGCTCATCAGGCAAACACTCCTCATCTTTTTTCAGGACATGCACATAAGGGTAAGAGCCCAGTATAACTAGTCAGTAAGAACAGAAGGGAGTTTGTGGCTAGAATATGAAGGTATCTTGTCATATTTACACTGTAAGTTTGGATTTGTTACTTAAGCTTTTCAGTCATCTTGATGTGCTTGCAATTTCAATCTTCAAAATTTTATAAATTGAGCACAGTTACTACAATAATAATTCTAAAATGTTACGAAAAAAGGAGTATCTACTAGTATGGATTTGCTAGTTGCTAAATATGTTTTTCCTTTTAGTAGAAACTTGATATGAAACTGAGAACCTGAGCTTGAAGTCATGGGGCTTGATACTCTTTAAATAAATTGATCATACTCAAGTGCATAATCAGTACACTTTTTTGAATATTACATCAGTGTGCCCATCCTCTTGACCACAATTCTACATTACTGGCTTTGGCCTGTATCATAGTCTCTATATATACATCAAAATCTTTAGGAAACCAATCCCAGTCTAGGCAGGAAGGCTGCAAGGTCAGACTTCAAAGAATTCGGATCAGAAGATATGTAACTGATTTTCTAGAAGGTGGAATATTCTTTTGCAGGTCTCTATCTTTCTGAAGGATAAAGTGCAAAACTCTAACGGTCGCTTTGTGCTGCCAATATCAGGCCCTGTTCCTTGGGGTACAGAAGTTCCAGGACTCATCAGGTGAATTCTGAACTGCTGCTTGTACCGTTTGCAGTGCCTTGCATGTGTGGCTGCTCACGGAGGAACAGTCAGTCCCAGCGGTCTAATAGGAATCGAGCTTAGGCTGTCATTCATGTTGCATGGATAGCTGAACCTCCAGTAAGTACTATTTAAAGGGCAGGATTTGGGACTAAGTCAGCCAGCAATGAAATACTAAGCTATTTCTAGCATTCTGTATTCCAGTAAATTAGCTATTAGTCATTTATCCATTTATCAACGTGCAGAATAGGGTTTTATTCCCATCTCTCTTGTACAGTAAGCAGAGGAAGTACTGAAAATCAGTCATAAAACCACTAAATATGTTTCAACAATGGCTTGTTTTTAAGGACGTTTAATCGCAATGGAGATGAAGTTAAAAGAACTGAGTTCATCACTGACGGAAGTTACGTTACTCCACAAAGGGAAGGATCTTTTGATCTTTATGGAGACAGAGTCCTCAAACTTGGAACAAATATGTAAGTCATTTTTGTCCTACATAGAAACATGAAGTAAACGTTGATGGTTGTGGATTTGTTCAGAAGCATGTCTTCAGCATTGTGTGTTTATTTTTGCCTCTTTCGCTATTATCAGCTTGACTTTTTTTACAAAGTGATGGCCTGAAACAGAACGTGTGCATAGATGTGTATAAAGAGCTGTGAAAAAGAGCAAAAGTTTGATTTATGTCTACAGCAGAGCTGAGTAAAGAGTGTTCTCATCTGGTACTGCATATTCTGTGAAATGTAATTTAATTTTAACTGCGTTCAAGAAATCCTTTCTTTTCTCCATGTTTGTCTTATGTAATTTTTCCATTCACAGAGCAAGACAAAGCAGTGTTCTTTCTTACAGCTTTGTCGCTCGTACATTTAATGCCTCAATACTCCACAGAAGTGAACTGTAACTTCTCATTTCAGTTATTTACAGTCTTCTGAAAAACACCCTAAAATCATATTTAGATCCTGTGCTGCTCCCTCCAGTTCCTGTATCACATACGGGTAACAGGTTGCTCTTCCTCATGTGTTTTTCTCTCTAGGTACAGTGTTAGTCGGCCAGTAGAGACACACATGTCAGGTTCATCCAAAAACTTGGCATCCCATGCAAAGGTCAGTGTTGTTCGGTCCCGTCACTGGTTAACTAGTCTGTGTCAGTGGGTCCTGCAGCCGGTCACACGTGGTGGGAGCGTTTCCTTTGAGCAGTTTCACCACGTCCACCAGACTTTACATTCTGCTTCCCTTGGCTCTTCCTAGATGGGGACACTGAATGAAACACCCACATCTGTCATCTCCGCGTCATTTACTATACAGTTGCACTATCTTCCCCTTTGTTCATCTCCTTTCTCAGGGAAACAATAGCCATCTTTTTAGTCTACGCTTACAGGATAAATTCAGGGGAACCTGTTTAGTTCTTCTCAGAGCCCCATCCAATCCTCCACGGTCCCTTTTGAGGTAGGGGAAGGGCACGTTTTCCTAAAAATCGTACACACAGGCTTGTGCAGTGGTGTACTTGCTTCCTATTTTAATCTCTTCAGAAAACAGAAAGCTGGTTTTACAGATTTCTCAGCTGTTCAATTTAGCTGGAAAATTATCTTGTCCTGGGTCTATAAATTCAAGCAACCATTTTAACTAGTAATTATCAGCTATATATTTATCTGCACAATCTGTACCATTAACAATGCAGAAATGTATTTATATCACTGCAGAACATTTATGTAATACCAGAAAACACAAAAACTGTTACAGTCCTCATCTCCCTGGTAACCTGACCAATGAACCCATTGCTGTTCTCTGCAGGACAATATAGCCCCTAACCCTCTTGCTAAAGAAGAACTGAACTTTTTGGCCAGGCTGCTGGGAGGTCTGGAGATCAAGAAACCTGGTGGCAGTGAAACAGGATTCCGACTGAATTTGTTCACAACTGACGAGGAGGAAGAGTATGCTCAAGTCCTTCTTGGTCTGGGGTTTGTGATGTAGTGCCATGTGGACAGCCCTGGAGACTGAAGCTGGCCCTTAACAGCTTTAGGGACAGAATAGCAGTTTTTTTAGCATTTTCTTATTCTGGTCCAGATGGTCCCTGCAGGAACAAAAGAGGAGCAGTTTCCCTGGCTTGACCTCTTTATTAAGGCTGTCGGCCAGGAGAGCCATTTCCCTTCCTGGTGTCTCCTGTGACGCACAGCCTTGCGTTCCCCCCAGGCGACACTGGCGGTCAGCAGCAGGTGACGATCTGTGCGTAGTTCTGACCCGCAGAACAGAGACATCCCTTCAGCCCTCTTCTCTCTCCTCTCCCCCAAATACATGTACGTGTTTCAGAGATAAGAATATAGCTGCTGGAGGCGATGAGCCCGACAGGCTTGAACACCGTAGCCCCTTCCTGGCAGGGAGCACAAGGGTAATGAGACCTTTTGTTACGCGATTTCTGCAGAATGTAGAAATTTCTACCTACTTTTAATCTCAACTACAGAGATGTTCCCACTGTTCTACACTTAGCATAAAAAAAATCCAAGACGGGGAATATTCCCCAAACTGGGGTCAATGCTTTAATTTGCCTAGCAGGAATAGGGACGTTGTCCAAACTTCACGCCTACAGGAGCCTCATGAAACCTGATTTTTATAATTTGCTTGTTTGTCTTCATGAGATTAAGCACTCTTTTCATGTTTTTAATCAAGACACGCTGCGTTGACTAGACCAGAGGAGTTATCTTACAAGGTTATCAACATAGAAGCCACGCAGGTACGTACAGTGCATTTCAGATCTTTGATTCTCATCATTTCTGCCTTGCCAAGAACTGAGTTTCACCCAGAGCAGTAACTTAAAAAATACATTTTTTTTTTTCCCCCAGTTCATTTAAGCTCCTAAGTAAGTAATGGCAGTATTTTCTGCTAAGGCTGTGGATTTGGTGACTATTTAATAAGAGAACTCGAAACCTGACAAATATTAGAGCAAGTTTTTAGCTGCGTAGGATGGAGAACTGTTACTGGATCATTTGCCTGCTGGCAGTTGCAGCCCAGCGCCTGCAGCCCTTTTTAAAGGGCTTCACGGGCACCAGCGGGCAGTTGGGCGCGTCCCAGTACGGGCCCACGTCAGCAGGCGGTGGGGCATGTCCCAGTACCCCCCAGTACAGGCCCACGTCAGCAGGTGCTGGGGCACATCCCAGTGCCCCCAGTACGTCCCAGTAAAGGCCCACGTCAGCAGGCGGTGGGGCATGTCCCGGTACCCCCCAGTAGAGGCCCACGCCAGCAGGCAGCCGTCCCGCGGTGCGGGTGCGTGGCAGGCGGGCTGAGGCGCGGTGTCTCTCCCCGCAGGAGCCGGGGCGGCGGGCGGAGCTCTCCCGCATCCTGGGGGAGCTGGAGGTGGCGGAGCCGCGCCCGGCGAGCTCCGGGAAGGGCGAGGACC